CACTTGGACGGGAGTCGTGGACGCGGAGAGGAGGGATCGATTGTACGTATTTCGAATTTCGCTCCTTTTCACGCTAATAATCAACTGGCTTACGACTAGCCACGAGTTGTTTATTCATTACACATGAATCGACATTTCACAGAGAGCTTTTTGTATCATTATCGATTTACGGGATGGTATTGTATGTTAACGAGAACAGCCATAAACAGGTCATTGCTCAAATATTAAATAAAATTTACCAAACAGAATTATTAGCGTATTATTTAGCGCCATTTGCTCACCAAATCAATAGGTTGTTTTAAATCATGCTTAATCCTTCATGGTCGCGCTGAATCAAAGTGACCTCGGTATCATCTTTCATGTTAAAATTAAATTTTAATGTTAAAATGAACTTTTTTGCTAGAAAAGTCTATTCTATTTTCTTAAAGGTTATGAAATTATATACTGTAATTTTTTTAAAGTTAAAAGTTGAAATTAATACTGTTGATTTGGTAACACTTTAAAAACGGTTCGGATAAGTGTAAATTTTAGTTTAATTTTTTTAAATTTGAAGTGTGACCATGAAGAGTTAAACTTGTTTTAAAACGATTCACAATTAACAATTAAAAGAATATCCTTCTACGGTTATTAAAGCGATAAATTATCTCTTAAAATAGTAGAGACTGATTTCTCTTTTTTGTCATTTCTTTTTTCTGATTAATATAAGTTAGCATTGTTCGTCACTAATTAAATTAACGGAAATTGAAACCATTTCTTTCCAAGTCGATTTTGTTTTATATGTAGTTATATGACCATAGTAATTCGAATACAGATAATTAAAAAGATAATTAAAAGGTTTTCTTAGAAGATTCCTTTAAATATATACGTATAATGTATTATATGTTAAAATTAACGACACACAAAACTATTTTAATTCTTTTTAAAAAATTATGTTTGTGTCTAATTTCTCTTCTCTTTCCTTTTCTTCTTTTTTCTCCTTTTTTTAAAATATTAAAATTTAATCTATTAATTTTATCTATTACCTATTAATCTATTAAAATATTAAAAACTCATACATGCAAAACTATTTTAATCTGTTTCTTAAAAAATTGGGCATGTACATCACTAATTTCTCTTTCTTTTAAAATATTAATTTAATCTATTAACTATTAAAATCTATTAAAATATTAAAAACTTATAAAGATACTGAGAATGATGTCGATAGGCGTATAATGATCGAAATAATCGATTTTGCATCTCGCATAGTTGCAGTCGTAAACGCAACGAGATTCAATGGCGCGCACTCTGGGAAAAGTTCTTAATTGAATATTTCGTCCTTAATTAAGAGTGGGGTCTGGGATACGTGGGAGATCGCGCTACGTTTTTCGCGATTGCGAGGGGCAAAGCTAACTTTCGCTCGCATGCTCGAACGAGCGCGCGCGCGCGCGCACGGCACATACGGCTAGCGGAAATACACGATCGTTAGCGACCGAAGGGGGATGGAATGACTTGGTCCGAGGCTAACGCAATCAGCATTCCCGGTTTAATGAGCCCCGTATCCATCCCCATCCCTTCTCTTTATCACTTTCTATCCTTGCTATGCGCAAAACGTTTCCGCTGCCGCTGACTGGATATCCCTTCTGCGTCACTCTTAGGGATTACACACTGGTCCCCCATCCCTCCAGGAGGAGACAGTTCAGCCTCGCAATCGCTAGCTGGGGTAATTACTACCCTTTCAAAATAGACACTCCCGCCGAGCAAGCAGCTGAGCGGGGTGAGTTTAGCGATACAGCGGTTAAAAAGAATCAGTACGAGAGATGCGAGGGGAGGAAAAAGTAATGAAAAAGAGGAAGAGGTTGGTGTAGAAAACAAAACAAAAGGAAGGAGGACAGAGAAAGAGAGAAAGAATAAAATTAAAATGAGCGAAAAAGGGAAAAAGCGAAAGTACAAGGTAGAAAGATAGAAATGAATGTGTATAACATAAAAATAAACGATCGAAACAAAGGGCAAAGTAATAAAAAATATAAAAGTATAATTTTCGCAATGAAACATTTTAAAGCAAAAAGGACAGAGGACCAAATGAATTTAAAGCTAAACGGAAGTGTAAGAATAATAAGAAAGAGAAACGAAATCGGGAAGAATGAAAAAACAACTCCCGCAAGAAGTGTGGAAGAGTTTATATAAGAAAGAATCTCAGGAAAAGAGAAGCAAACAAAGAAATACATGGAGGAAAAGAGAAAAATTAAAACGCAATGAAAACAAAGAGAGGGGAGAGGCTGAAAGAAAAGAAAAGAAAATAATAAAGCTGAAAAGTATGTGATATAAGGCGAGAGAGGTTACAGGGGAGAGTAATTTAAGAAATTAAACAAAATAATTATAGAACAGATAGGAACGGGAACAAAATCAAGAGGAATGAAGAAACGGACCAAGGGCTATAGAAGGCTATACGAAACTATATGAAAAAAGCCGAGGGGGGGGGTGGGTGGAGGGAAGCGAATAGAATAAAATCTGTGAATAAAATCGTTCCGCGCTAAAGTGCTGAAAAGTGTTCCGATGCGTCCGCGCTAATCGGGGCGTCAAAGCCCCCTCCCCTCCCCCTCTTTCGTTCCATCTTAAGCGAAGCCGTCTTCGACTATATATAAGGTGAAGAGAAAGGGGATGAAGGGATTTAGCGCGGGTTGACACGGAGGGTTGGAATATCAAGGATTTTCGCAGAATCTGGCCCACTCCGTGCTTCGAGCTTAATCGTTTAACGCTGTCGTCTTGTCAAGTAGTATGATCGAGAAGTGAATCGATGCGATTATGTTTCTTGGTTAAGAAGCTCGCAAAGGTACACGATTGCAAAAAAAAGTTGCTCGCACGATTACATCGATCAGCAAGTTAATCTTTCATTTCTGAATCCCGCGTATATTTCGGCGGGCCGAAACGTTTTATCGATGGATTTATTATATATTTTATGAAAACTGTAATTGTCGTTAAATTGCCGAACCGTAAACTGATAAGATAATCACGCGTCGTATTATAGAACGGTTACTGGCAAACTTAACGCGGGTAACATCGTGTTATTATCCCATTTTGTATAGTAGGATTTGTCGGGGGTTTATGTCTTTTGTTTGTACAGCGATAAAAACCGCGCATGGAATTACTCACGATATACCGATTTTCGCGTAATGTTTATTAATAAGTCCAAGTGTGTAGGAAAATATGCGCATATTCTCGATATGTTCCTGAATACGCGATATTGAATTGAATGAATATCGCGCCAACGTGACAATCCATAATTCGATTTGATTGTATGCTCTTTGCTTTTGAGAGTCTAAAATAAAATAAAATTGTATAAATATAAACACGAACGAAGGATTTAAGAAGATTTAAGAATATACCAACGGGGATAGAAGGATAAATGCCGGATTTACAAAGAGAAACTGCGCCGAAACACCGAGCTTGTCTCTAGGAAAGCCGGTATTCCCATGCAACTTTCTCCGTAAATGCATTCTCACTCCGCGTTCCGCGTATTGAAGTAAACAATACAATTATCCGGCTCATTTAATCTCCAATAATGTAAACGCTTCGTAATTTAACTCCCTCCCGCGCGATGTAACATCGGGGCATCGCGTCTGGGAACGTTTCCACCCTCGCCAATGGCGATGTTAATAACAATACCGGTTAATAACAATGTCCTAAAGATGCGGCAAACGGGCGGGCGAATAATTACGATATTATACCGCATATCGATACTTTATCCATTTTGGTACACGAAAACTGCTCGCCGCAAATTCTTCGATCGCGGCGGAGGGGGCTGCCGCCCTCGCCTCCTCTGCCTTTACCTCGATCTATCCACCTTATGACCCTGCTACTTTCCTTTCTGGGGGCCCGTAAATCGATTACTCGTCGCCACGGCGTTCGTAAATTAGCACCGAGGCGAACGAGCGTGAGCGAAGTGGTTCGACAAGGTGGTACAAAGTCGAGGGTCGCCTTCTTTACGAGGGTTCAGCCTCCGGTGGGGGTGGTTAAGCGGCAGGCTTTAGTGGCACTTACCATCGCAAACATTATTTTATCATTTTAATGGCGACCTGAGAGAGAGGGAGAGAAGGAGGAGGCTGTAGAGAGGGAAGGAGAATGAGAGAAAAAAAAGAGAGGAAGGGGAAAGTTAGAAAGGGAGAGAGAGTGAGTAGATAAAATACAGGTAGATAGAAGCGAAAAGTCGATTCTGAAGCAGGAAAGAGGCATAACTCGACTTTGTGGTCTGAGGTTTTTTACCGGCCATCTCTCAATACTTCCCTCCGTTTCTTCTTCTTCTTCTTCTTCTTCTTCTTCTTCTTCTTCTCCTCTCCCCTCTCCTTCTCTACTTTCGATCTCATCCCGTTTCCTACAATTGACCCTCGCGTCTCCCTTCCGCCCCTTCCTGTCTTATATAAGATTACGCTTGTTACGACAGTCTCCGCTCGACAAGGCGGCCTCATCCGCTTGGCGTGTTGACTTCGTTAGAGAGGACGAACCGCTTTAATTCACTACCTTCTCGCTATTCCCCTCGAGCCGCCTGTACTGCAAACCAACCCTCTTCGGCGCAATGATTCCGCAAATGTCGATTCTCTTTTCCTCTCTTGCGTTAGCATTTTCTCTTTCTCTTCTCGTTTCGTGACGTCAAGTAATTTTTCGCTTTCTTGTCTTTCGCACTATCTGTTAACTGTATGATTTTTTGCGCATTTTAATCTAATAATGTAATAATGTAAGATGTAATATTATCGGTAAATACATTTCATTACAAAGAATGTCCCGAGATTAATTTCATTATGAAAGGAAAACGTTCCAAACATATTTCTTGAAATACAAATATACATACGTCTTGCAGAAAATCTCTCTTTTCATCTAGTCTATGTTAAAAAATATGTATTCTCGAATATTTTTCCATATAAAACGAATCTTAAAATATTTCTCGCAAATATATTTCCCAACAATATCACATTTTATGTTAAATTCTCGTTTATCATAAATCTGCACTGTCCCGCTCTTATCATCCCTTCCATCATATTTTGGACGTGACGCGATCTATGGCTACCAGGACGCTTGTCTTTCATCCAATCTTAAAATGCTTTCAGTCTCTTAAATTTTCTAGACCAAATAAGCCACAATCCTGTAATGTCTCTTTTATTATATTTTATTATATTGAAGGGACCTCTTTTTCCGATCTTCTTTCATCCTGCTATAGTTTTGGTCACGTCGCTCCTCTAACGGCTTCCTCCTTCTTTTTCCTCTTTCTTTTTCCTCTTCTCTTTTTCCTCTTCTCTTTTCTCGTCCTAAAATCTTCTTGGTTGTGTTTCTTTCAGCCTGTGCCTATCGTCAAGCGTGTAATCTTCTTTTTTGCTTTCATCTTTAATCCTTTCTCTCGTAAATCATAATAATACTCCCTGTACAGAATAAATTTCAAAGTAAATATTTCACAGAAATATTAGTTAATTGTATCATTTTCTTCTTTCTCCACCATTTATTCAACATACGACATGCAATTATAATATGTAAATTTAAAACAATTGACTAAAGATTCTGTCTTTTGTCAAGATATTATTTATGTTTATCTTTTCATATATCGTTGTCATCATTTAATGTATTTATTTTTGTCCAGTCTACATTATGTAGACAATATTTAATCTATTTTATTTCTCTTTATTCTATCAAACATTTGATGCATTTTAATGCGTGTTTTCTTTCTCTCGTGCTTCAAATTTTAGAAATTTTCAACAACTTATATTATTTATTTCCCTATCAATTCTTTATCTTCCTTTATTTTCCTTTATTTTCCTAATAATCATAATGACACGTTTGTAAACAAGCTCGTGCATTATGTTTGATATAAAAACGAAAATATCGAATTTAAAAAAAAAAATACGCCTCTTCGTTCATTCGCTGTCTTCCTTACAATTTTTCGAACCGGATAAAAATCAATTTCCTCATTCACCACCTTGAAAGAACTCGCGCTCGTCCCTCTTATTTCCACTCTTTCATCTCTCCTTACCTTTTGCTTCATCAACCGTGCGAGATCCGTACAGTTTCATCTGTTTCTGTCCTTAACGGCTTTCGTCGTCTACTTCATCTGCTTTTTCTTCCTCCTACTTTCTTACCGGCCGTCCGAGCATAAGGCCGAGGCCTCTCCTCGCCACTCTCCTTCGGAGATATCCATCATCCTTCAACGCAGATTTTTAATAAAACTTCTACAGCCTCGGCCACGCAGCCGTTACTCTGCTCTCCTCGGCGTTATGCCTCCCGCGCTGTGCTTAATATTTCATCCCATCTATAGTGATCATCTACGAAGCCCCTGATTTGCCTTTAACGCTCCTGCCTCGCCTCACCCCTATCTCTTTCCATGTCTGTACGAACAACGAGGCGATCGATTTCCACAACGGGACCATTGTGGCTGGTATTCAAGCCGTAAAACGTGTCGTCGACCCTGCTGCCTCACATAAGATTGCGCTGACACGATGATCCAAAATTAATTGACGCTCGACATATGTCGTTGGATACTCTTTTCATGTAGATTTTTATTTAAATTATTTGTGTAATTTACTTATCTTGAAATTTATATTAAGCTAAAACAACTCTTCAAATATTAAGGAATTATTCGAGATAACAAGTTTATTTCGTACGTTGTCTGTCGCATAACGCACATTTTAGTGGAAATAATACTTGAAAACATACTTGAAATGATCCCAGTTATTGTAGCTTAAATGATTAATGTGTTGTAAGATATATGTAATGGAAAATGTACGAGCAAGAACGAGAGAGAAGCAATGCATCGCATAAAAATTTCGATCTTCCGCTCCTTTGTTTCGTAAGAATATATAATATAACATTATTTTTAAATAACGCAATAACAAATAGGATAGACCACATAAAAAGCTACAAGTTATTTTCTCGAGAACTGTTAAAGAAGAATAGATAATATTCTTTTTTGATATTTTAATGACCGTTGGCGTTCTTTATCAAACAAATGGGGTACCACTTTGGTATATATTATTTTAAAATTATCTCGTAAGAAAGTACTCTTAGGTAAGAAAAGGAATTTTCTATTCGTTTAACTGTGTCGAAAAATAGAAAAAATTCAAATAGAAAAAAAAAATTTGTTTTTGTAACATTACTATATATATATTTCGTATAGTCCACAAGATTTAAAAATTGTACTTAATATTTAGGAGTCTCATCATTCGTGTGAATTATCTAATGAAAAAATGCAATGTAAATAATATGGACCGTTAAACAATATTATAGGAGAAAAATAGATAATATATCATACTGTTGCTCGTACAAAATTGGAGTAAGTGTAATTTTCTTCACATATCCATAACCTGTATCACGATCTCTTTCGTAATCTCGACTGCTTGATTGGATTCACAATTCAATTATCACAAGTCCTCACGAGCGGCGATCGATAGAACATGCAAACTCTATTGCTTTTGCACAAAACAAATAGGTAGGTAGGTAGGTAGGTACCACTGTACCGTGAAAGAGGGTCGGGGGAGTCCCTGGTGCAGATGAATGCAAACAGACGCGAAAGAAGCTTAGAGGAAATTATTTCGTCCTAAGAAAGAACACAAATCTCTCTTTCGTATTTCTGCGTAATTTTATTGCGAGATGTCGCGAAACATTATAATAAATAGCAACAACAATACAAGCACTTGGCTATTTTTTTTATTATAATAATAATTTTTCGCTTAGCATTATTGTCGCAATTGTTAATCACTTATTGCAATCTTGTAGAAAATTGTTAATTTGTCGTTTAATATAATTTGTCGTGAAATAAAAAAATGAGATTTTTATTAATAATTCGAGAAATATATACTAGAATTTATTTCGGAGAAAGAATTATATAATTATACATATTACGATTGTGAAAAATTTGAGTAAAAGAGAGGAATATCAATACTGCAGTTTTAATCTATCACTTATTGCGATCTTTTTATCGCGGTCTTTTGCGGCTTTTATTTTTACAATATTTAAAATAGTGTCAATATTAAAAATTACGTCCGATTTGAAATTTAAATTATACAGCACCATTATAGGGATGAATCGGAGAATTATATTGTTAAATTCTTTGTAATGATTATCGTCAGGAGAAGTTATATAACTAGATCTGTAATTTCATAATTCAAGTTAACGGCTTATAATTTCAGAATTTTAAATGTTGAATCAAAGTCAATGTGAAAAAGAAAATAATTCAATTTTTACATCTCAGCGATAAGACACGCAAAGGATACGGGCTTTAATTTTAATCTTTTTTTTTTCTTTTTTTTTTATTTATGGAAACGAATTCATTTATATATGTTTTATTATTTTCTCATGACCGCAACGCGCAGTCGAATGCATGCAAATGAGGAATTGTGTTCGAGCGAAGGATCAACGGAGGACGAATCGACCGCCAGATTGCACGCAATGTTACAGAGATATTTTTCGGGCGGGATGCCGACGACATAAAGACGTCGCAGACAGGGGGATGGGAGGGTGGATGGGCGAAGGCGAGAGGAGTAGCGGGAACAGAGAACAATTCGGAGATTCGCGGCACTAAAATTTCACGACTACGTCGGTAGCAATTTCGGCTGATCGAGGGGGTGATGCAGCCGCACCGTGTCCTTGTCTATTTGTGTCCTTAGAGCGACCGAGGGTGGCGACGGAGAACGGAGGGGGGTAGGGAAGGAGGTTTCGTGAGACCATCCGGAATCAACGGTCGGGAAAATGAGTGCCATCTCTTCCGGAACACGCACCCAGAGAATCACGCCGGTGCCGGTGAGAAATTCATGGAAACGGCTATGCCGGGAGAAGGGTGACGAAATTCCATGACTGATGGCGGAGCCAAGATTTTTCGCAGTCGAGCGACGTACCAATTTTTTAATGTAAATGAGAGCGCCGTTAGATCATTATTGCGGTGTGCGTTATTTTACTCTTTCCTTTAACCATCATTTTACTCCAGTCTTGTTATTCATCCAAGTCAAAAGTCACTTCATTCCCCTCGAATATTTACGCTTAGAGGGTTAATAATAAAGAACTATATTATTGTACATCTATATAAATTTTCAGGCCATTGACAATTTACATTTTATGTACTTGTATTGGCGAACAAAGTTTGATTAAATCTGTAACTACCACACTTTCGTAATTATTTCCTGACAGCTTTGCTGTATCGTTACTCCGTCTGTCTGTCTCTCTTCTCTTATCTGTCGCCATTACTTCCGAGAGGGGCGTAAACTCCGTAACGTTTCACGAGGACATCGAATCTCATAAAATCCGTAGTGCATCTGGTGCGAAATTTGTCACGAAATACACTCGCTATACCGGATGGCATTTAAATCACTATGTGAATGTAAATTTTATTCTGTCCACTGTGTAAGCTAATCGCCGGTTCGCAATGACTGTTATTGTTACGACGACAACAATTACGTCGACGCTTTTACAGCTGCGTACGTGCGAGTTTGACAATCGCGTTTCGCTAAGCATGAAATAAAAAAAGTTATAAAACTGATGTATACTTTTGCCTCAAAATTACTAGTTCGAGAAAGAGATACTTCAAATACACACCATCGTCGTTAGTCGTTTCATTATTTTATCGTTTTATCTCGCAATCCGTCCTTTAAATGTCTTTTTGCATTTTCTATCACGTTAACAGGCTTGGAATATTTTTCAAAAATACCGCAGTATCGAATAAATCGAATGAACCCTTTATGGAAAATATGTAATGCGTTCCGAAAAAAATTTGTTTAAATTACAAGTAAGACATATACTTCTTATTCTCTATGAGATTTATTATTTATTAATTATTAATTATTAATTAATAATTATTATTTATTAATTTTCGCTACATTATTTATTTGCTGCAGCATTATCATCGATGAGAGGTCACATAATGGTCTCTCCATTATGTGAATATCGTTACAAGTAGCATCGATAAACACCCTTTGACGCGGTGCATATTGGACGAGTTGCAGAACGCCTTGGAATAGGATTATCGCAGGATATTGCATATTGTGGTCGAACGAGGCATGGCGTTAGATTGAAGAATCTTTGGAAATATCTCAACGTCATTTCTCGACGCTCTCGGCGGATAGAAAATATTCTATCGAACAGGCGGAATAGCCAGGGCGGATCGGGAAAGGATAGTACGACGGGATACGGATGATCGGGGCGGATCGGAACGGCGGCGAGAGAGTCGAAACGTGGGGATAAAAGGTCAGGAGATTAACGCATCGATTAGTTCGAGCACAGCGAAACACTCTTCGGCACTTTGGCACTACGTGCGCGCGCGCGTGTGTGCGTGTGTGTGTGTGTGTGGTGTGCGTGTGTGCTATGTATGTATGTGTGTACTACCGTCACGTTCGTCGGTCCGAACGTT